CAAGAGATATTAATATAATGCATTTAAATTGTCATATGAATATAAATCTAGTACTAGACAATATTAGTATGTATAATATTAATACGTGGGGCGTTAGATCAATTAGATTGTTTGTAGAATGTGTAGAGTGCGTGAGTTATATTGGCATGTTAGCGCACTCATTTATTAATAGGCATGGAAGTATTAGTAGAGGCGACTCTCGATCTACATAAGCACTTATTATTAACAAAGTTAACAAAGTGCCTGCATCTACATAGATGTAATGACATACCTAATTCGGTTTGTACTGGTGCGTTTTGTACCGGATGAGGAAGCGAGCGTTGTTGATGTTGACGTGGATGATGCACGCACTGTAACTGAATCGGATGTGCTTTGATGATTACTGACCCGTCGCGTGCTGTCTTTTGAATCGCTATTCTGATAACGACCAACACCTAACGGATTTTTATTTAAATCGCTCAAAGCTGAGGATGTTTTTGTCGCGGAAGCTTTTAGTGCCAACCGCTTTGATCGTCTAACAATTCTTTCAGCTGTAATATTATTAAGTTAGAATTAGTATAATTATTACTCAACTATCCTTGCTGTTATTTAATTGTTGACACTTTAGAATTATGTTTTTTAATTACTCACAATTAGCTGAATCAATTAGTTTATCTTCAGGCTCGCTAGACTTAGTGGAGGTACGCCTCTGGTAATACTTGTCTCTGTCTCTCGACGATGCCTGAGAGAGGCTGCTGCTACTTGAAGACATTGGACTTTTCTGTATCCAAGAAACACTTATGTAAATGTTTTTACTCTTTACATTATTTATGTTTTACTTTAAGAGCTAGATAGTTTTGTTCAGAAGTTTATTCACGTGTGGTAACACAATAAAACGCCAACAGGTTCAATAAATTTTTAAATTCCTTTCAGGCAGTTCCGATAGACGAGTTTATATTTTTTTTTTACTTTAACAAAATGTTCAGTTAATAATTTAATGATAACGATAATGTTAACGTACAAGGTAACTCAGGTATTTTATCTCCTTATTTTAAATTCTGAATCCAAAATTACATTATTTAAGAAATTAATACTAGGCAACCTTGCAGTCACTATGTGAACGAAAAAAAATTAAAAAATTTTGTTTTATTAAATAATGACTTTTGCTAAATTGCACTGTGCTTTCTTAAATATTGACATTTTTAAAAATATAAGCTCATCCCAATAATATACTCACCAAGAGCTTTCATTTGAATATCCACATGCATTTTTGATATATTTTTCATATATACATATATATATAATAAATGTAATATATGTAAATATATGAAAAAATTGATGTGGGTACTCAAATGAAAGGTCTCAATGAGTGTAACATCGAGATGAGCTTATATCATTAAAAATGTAAATAGATCACCAGATACAAGGTAATTTCTTAATTATGTTAAATTGCAATGTTTTTTTCGACAGTTAACATTTATAAAGATATAAGCTCGTCCTAATTTTACACTCATCAAGAGCTTTCATTTGAGTACCTACATGGATTTTTGATATATTTTTCATATATACATATATATAATATATGTAATATATGTAAATATATGAAAAAATTGATGTGGATACTCAAATGAAAGGTCTTGATGAGTGTAACATCGAGATTAGCTTATATCATTAAAAATGTCAATATTTCACAAGATAAAAGGTCATTTCTTAATTATGTATCTAGAGATAGAGAATTTTCGAATGCAGCCTAAATACTTATCATAATAAATTGACTATCGGTTTAAATGATATAAAACCTTTAAAAGGCATAAATTCAAATCAAGACCTTTGCAATGACACAAAATTTCATTTAAAAAATCCGATTTTATCATATGACTATCCTGGCCACAAAATTTCGCTTATTCTCTTAATAATATAGATCAACACGCAACGTAGTGCCAGTGAAATAAATATTTAAATAATAAATTAATCTTGATACTCGAAATATTATGTTAACAAAAGTCGTAAATTAATGTTAATTTACTACTAATTTATATAACAATAATAATAATTATTTTTTTACTTGTTTGTTGTATAAAGTAGCCGACTGTGAACTCCAGGCAGATAGACCGTCGGGAAATCCTGTTTTTCTTGGCAGAGTTGAGCCATCTAAAAATAAAATAGACAACAGTAGTAAGCCAAACAAATAATATATTTAAGGATTACTCTATTTATCTACCAGCAACACAACAATACAATGCCGAGTTTTAATATAAAAAATATTTTACCGATCGGAGATACTATTGACGCAGCGCGCAATCTTGACGCCTTGGTTTCACGAATGCTGGCAGTCTTCTTTCCTACTGTAAAAATAATCGTCAATATTAATTAAACAATTTAATTAATTATCTACGTAAGTTTAATTATAAATTATAATACAGTGTAATGGTGATTTAATTTTCTTACTAATACTGTTCGTAGTACTGGTTCTCGATCTTCGGGCCAGGCTGTCAGATGATGAGCTGCCCTCATTAGCAGCCATCAAATCAGTGACTCCAGCTGCTACCATATCTATTATTGCAAAAATAAATAATTTATTATATTTTTTCAGATACTTTCACAAAGGTCTACTGTTAAAATAATAATTATTGGAGTAAAATAATTTAAACAATGAATACATTAAGGTAAAATGGTAATATAAATGAGTAGTATTAAAATTGTTCCTGGTATGAATCATAGAAAAATACCGAAGCATCCTGATGATCCCCCACTACTCACAGTGTTAACAACTGAGTGAAGAGACTGGAAAATAGCAATGCAACACAAGTTGGTCAAGGTTTTTTTCGTTAATTTAATTATAGGTCTAAACAATACAGAATTGCTTAACCCATTAATAGGATTAGATATCGTTATCATAGGTTATTAAATTATTAATAAATTTATTCAATATGTACATTGTAAATTTCAATAAAAATTTTATTGAGATTACTTGTCCAATATGTGCCGTATTTACATTTCAGGTGATTGATTATAAGAATAATAATAATGATAACAATGAGAGTAATAGTAATAAAATTATTATTGTTATTACTATTTCAATTATTATTTACTCTTACTATTATTATTATTATTGATAACTTACTGATTTATTAAATGACCAGACTTGTCGCCATAATATTTAGTCTCCCGTTAAAAAAAAAATAACCACTGGCACGTCGGCAAGAAAATATCTATTTAATAATAATAATAATAATAATAATTAAGTATTTATGTAGATATTTTTTTAAAAAAACATCGGAGCGTTGACTTGTAAGATCAAAATTGTTATCACAGGAGTCATATTTCGATGAACTCACTACCACTGGTGAAAGTTATATTACAGCTATGAAAAAAATTTACCAGAGAATGAATAAAAAAAAATCACATTTCTCTTTTTATAATTATTTTAAATAATAACCGTAATATATTAAAATATGTATAGCAAATAAATATATGTACAGTATGGTTTTAATAAAATATTATTATTATATTACTATAAACTTTTTGTTATTTTATTAAACTAATTATTGACACAAAAAAACGGTAATAACAAAGGAAGAAGATAAGTTAAATCGCGGTAATTTGTTCTTTTCTCCCACATTGCGAATTCGCGATTATTATATTTTTTTACAATGATATTTGTGTCCAGCTTGTCATCTGCGGTTTCCGCCGAGATGGAGCTGCATTGTTGAAAATACTACATGTAAAACACACACACGACACACGCACGACACTCGGCTGGTTTTTTTTAGGGCAAATTCGATTGTAGCGCCAGTTTATTAAAGGCTTAAAACCTCTGCTGGTAAGTTCAAATATTTTTTTTTAGTGAAAATAAAAATTATTTATTTTATTTATTTTATCATAAAATAAATTTTAAAAATCACTTTTTTTTTCTTAATTAAAAATCAACAATAATAATAAAAGTATGATTGATTTATTATTTTTAACAGAGCAGAATTTTTATGACACTGAAGTTAACAGACATTAAAAATTTTTTAGAATTTTATAACAATCAAATTAGTATGAAAAAAAGTTAATAAAAAAATTCCACGTGTAAAAATTGAAAAAAATTTTTAGTGAAAATTTTTAAAAACATTTTTTTAATTGTAATTGATTTGTTACAAAAATTAAAAAAAATTGACAGCTGTCAGCTAACTTAACTCAAGTTAGCTTAGTATTGTGAATTTTTATTTTCAAAAATTTTCTTGTTAAAAAATTTGTGACATTAAAGTTAGCTGTCACTTTACAATTTTTTAATTTTATTTACCAAAAAAATTTATTCCATAAAATTATTTAAAAAAAATTGCATTTCTAATTTTTTAAAATTTCTACATGTCAATTTTTTGTTCAAAATTATTAAATATATGCTAAATTAATTTTTATAAAAAATTTTTGAGTCTGTGTCGAATAATTTTTATTTTATTTATTTTTTATTAATTTCTTTTTTAAAAACTAAAAAACTGAAAAATTGCGTTGAACTACTTATTTGAAGTTACCTGCGACTTTAACGCCATCTATATAATAGTTGAAATGCGCGTCAACCTTTATTTAAGCAATTGCGCATCGGCCATATTTGTATTGTCAGAGAGAGAAAAATTTAATGAACAAAGGCGGTTGGCGGTTAAACTTTTTACTACATATTACGTCGTAATTGTGACATATAAAAACAGTATTTCGCGCTTTATTAAACGCAATTACGCGGGAAAGTAATATTCAGTAATAATTACCATTAATTTTGAATCAAGATTAATTACAAAGAGACTTGAGAATTACTTTGTACTTAAGTGTGTGAAAAAAACTGTTGGTAAGTTTCAGTGAATGTGTTTCAACTTGTTTCTTGTGACCATAACAAAAGAAATAGGTTAGGTTGTCATTGGTCACAAAACAAATCTTTTATACAACTAAAATAAATGAATAATTATTTAACAACATAAAATTTTGTGATATAGTTCATACTGAATGTTATTTATTTTTTTTTAGGAGGAAGTTAATTTGCCAAAATGCCTCGACTGAGATCGAGGCGAACGACAAAAGAAAACATTGATGGTCCTGAGGAGACAAAGTCGCCGAAAAATTGCGGTACAGTGGCGTCCAGAGTTTCGGCGAAAAAAAAAGGTAATGATGATAATTTGATTGCTGTTAATGCGTTAGCGATGTTAAAATCGCCAGTTCTACGGGACAGAACGAATTTGATAACAACACCCACGAAAAATGATGTTTTGAAAAAAGGTATCCAGGACGAGGAAGCTGGTGATGCGGTGGCCACTGAGTCTGAGGTGAAAGCTACGAGAACGAGGCAGAAGAAGATTGAGGAGGTGAAGGATGTCAAAACTGCGGTTGGAAGAACGAGGACTAGAGGAAGTAAAGCTGACATTCAGGAAACTGTCAGTCTGAAGCCTTCAACTTCTAGTAAAAAATCCAGTATGATGATTAATACAGATGATCAAGATGTACCAGTTAAAGCAGTTGAGGATAAAACTGCTAAAAGTAAAACTAATGTAAAAAAAAGAACGAGGCTGGTTGAGAAAAAAACAGAATCTAAAGTTAGTACTCGAGCTAAGAAAGTTGGTGCTGCTAAAGATAAATTAAAGCCTTCGGGGAAAGATTCTGATAATGAATCAAAGGATGTCGAAGAAAATTTATCTTCTAATGAAGCTCATGATGATAAATTAAATGATTCGTTGCCTGAAAATAATAAAGACGTGCCTAAAGTTGTCAAGAAAAAATCCGCTGGTAAAAAGAAGGTCAGTGTAGCTTCTAATAAGCGATCTATACGAGCTCGTAAGACTGAGGAAGTAAATGAACCTAAAGATGATAAAGAAAAATCAGCTAGTGAAGATGATAATGATCAATTAGAGGATTCAGCTTCTGAAATTGGTGATGATGAAGCTAAAAATGTTAAAAAACAACCAGCTAATAAAAATAAGGTCAGTGTAGCTTCTAATAAACGATCTTTACGAGCTCGTAAGACTACAAAAGTTGATAAACTACAAGATGACGAAGAAAAATCAGCTAGTGAAGATGATAATGATCAATCAGAAGATTCATCTCCTGAAATTGATGATAATAAAGCTGAAGATGTTAAAAAACAATCTGCTAATAAAAAGAAGGCCAGTGTAACTTTTAAAACACGAACTTCACGAGCTCGTAAGATTAAGGAAGTAAATAAAGCAAAAGATGATGATGAAAAATCAGCTAGTGAAGCTGATAATTATCATTCAGAAGAATCATCTCCCGAAACTGATGAACTTGCGACTCAAGAATCAGACAAACCCAAAGGAAAAAAATTCTTCAAAATAATTGTTCCTACAGCTCATTATAAACTCTCTCCTGTGAAGAAAAAGAGATTGGCTGCTAAGCAAAAACATGTCTGGGGTCAAAAAGTTCGTGGAATAGTTGCCGATCCAAGAATGAGTGGTTCTTTTCGTTTAAGACAAACGACTATCAAAGAATCATTGGCTAATGCTTCAAAAAAGGCTCTGAGACCTCGGCCTCCGAGGAAAAGCAATGAAAATTCGCCCAACAAAAAGATTGTCAAGAAAAGAGGACCAGTTTATAAAGAAATCATAGAAGATGGTATTAGTAAAAAAAATAGTCCAGATGAAATTTATGAATTTAGTTATGACTTGAATGATTCTAAGGAACGGAAGATTATTCGTAAAAGGAAAATCACTCGCAAAGCTCCGGTCAAACGAAATAAAGCATCAACTAAAACAAAGAAGGCTGTTAACAAAACAGAGGAGCCGCCAGCTGTAACAGAAAAAATTGTCATAAATCAGCCAGTAGCTCCTGCTAGTATTCCTGAAGAACCTGCCGAAACTCATCAAGTTAATATTACAGTAGCGGCAGAAGTTTATGATCCTCCAAGTCCAGGTCCAAGTTCAGAGCCATTCTTTGGAGATGAACCTTCTACAACTGTGGATGAACAACCGCAAAAATCACGACCGGTAGTGATTTCTTGTCAAGAGTTAAGCGCTGAAAATCGCATCAATTGGACAACGACTCCGGTACAGCCAAAGCCAACAGAAAAAGAATCTTCAGGACCTCGTCAATACGGTCAGAGACCGTCGAAGCAAATAAAGACCATGCTGGACACTTCTCTGATCAGACGATCTCTTTCACCAATCTCCAAGGCGAATCCTACCCCTTTTATTGAAGATGCTGGCAGTCCGTGGCGTCTTGTTCCTAGTAGTTCGTTTTCCCGTGTGAAAAATGTCTTCCAGAGTACTCCTCAGGGGAAGAAATTTACTACGTTGCTAGGTAAGGCTTCAGCTGCTGAAAACAAACGTTTGAGTTTGAATATGGATAAAATTGAAGAAGCTCATGATGAAAATCCAGACACCAAGCAAAATAATTCGTCGGAAAATGTGCAAATTAATAATTCTAAATCACCTAGAAAATTCGGCACTGAGATTTCTAATATTAATAATATTAAGGGGATTAATCAAGCGGGAATAAGTCCGACCAAGTCTCCTCGGATGTTTGGAACTGACCTTTCGAATTCAAATAACTCTTCACCAGCGAAAAGTCCTCTCAAAAAATTGAGTAACTCATTATCGGCAACGAGTCCGCTTAAGAAAAAATTAAGTAACTCTCCATTGGCTACGAGTCCGCTTAAGAAAAAGCTTTCCAAGTCTTTGGTACTGAATGAAAACAGATCAATTAGTAGAGAAAAATTATCTGTTACAAATGTTTCTATTATTGATAGAGAGCTTTCTGTACCCAAAGCTTCGGCTGATGAAACTTTAGACAAGGAAAATTCAGCGCCGAATTTGCTAAGTCCAAGCAAAACTCCGAGAATAAATAGGTCGGTTGGCAGCAGTTTTGGAAGTCCATTTAAAGGTTTTTCAAGTGAGAAACCTGTTGAGGATTCAAGTCTTGGTAGTCCATTCAAAGGTTTTCCAAGTGAAACTCCTGCTTCTCCTGTAAATGAAATAAGCCAAGAATCAAATCTTGGAAGCCCATTCGTAGGTTCTCCTAGTGATAAATCTGTTAAGGATTCAACTCTTGGAAATACAGTGGAAAGTTTTACTAGTAATAAATCTGTTGAGGATTCAAGTCTTGGAAATAAATCGGAAGGTTTTAAAAGTAATAAACCTGTTGAAGATTCAAATCTTGGTAGTCCATTTAAAGGCTTTCCAAGTGAATCTCCAGCTTCTGCTGTAACTGAAATAGGACAAGAGCTACTACCAGAAATTGAAACTCAACCAGAGATTGAACCTCAACCAGTTATTGAAACTCAACCAGAGATTGAATCAAGACCAGAGATTGAAACTCAACCAGTCATTGAACCTCAACCAGACATACAAACTCATCCAGAGATTGAACCTCAACCAGACATTGAAACTCATCCGGAAATTGAACCTCAACCAGGGCCTTCAGGACTTCAAAAAAATAGTCCTCCAGCTAAGACATGGAAATTAAAACAGTCTAATTTAAATAGATTTTTAAATCTACCTGAAAAACCAACTAGCACTCGGATCAGCACAGCTCATGGTATATTTGACGACTTAAATACGTCGCCCGTTGAAGTGAATATCAATAAAAATACTAATAAGACAGGCGAACCAAATGTTGAAAATGCATTTGGATTTGATGATAATGATGAGTCTGATGAAGCGAATACTTCGTATGACTTTGGTAAGGCGCCTGTTGAACCTACTGTGCCTAAAAAAGTTAAAGTACCTGCTATGAACCCCGCAAATATTAAAATAGTCCAAGCAGTAATTCATAATAACAACAATGGAGAGAGTAAAACAGCGACGAGGATTTCTACAGAAACAATTAATAGAATATTGAGATCTAACAAAAAAGATGATGGAATTAGAGAACCTGACATTCAAGTAGCACCTGCTGAAGAACATCAGTTTGTGGAGCCTGCACCAACTCCTTTTGAACCAGAAAAATTTTTAGACACTTTTGATCTCTCAACTGAAGTCGGTACTGAAAATGTCGATAAACCTATTGGGCTGTTTCTTGATAGTGAACCTGTTATTCACTATAAAGAGGTATTTATTTCAATTTTTTATTTAAAAAATTTTATATTGTTTTTTTTTTTAATTGTGAATAATTTTTTAATAAATTTAAATTTTATTATTTTAGCCTCCAAGATTTTCTTACAAACGTAAACGTCGCCAACGTCTGATGTCTTGTGGGGATTCAGAAGAAGAAAGCGATGACGAGGAGCGTAAACGGCCGGTAAAGAAAAAGAAACTCACCAAAGCCGAACGAGAACAAAATAAAAAAATAGAAGAATGGGCTAAAACGGTCAATAGTTCGTTTGCAGAAATAGAAGATTTTAATTTGGTAGTCGAGTAAATTTTATAACTTTATTTATTGATAAATTTTTATCCCGCAGATTGAATAAGAAACATTAAGTTTGTGAATATACTTAAACTAATTTATTACATAGATATATTTAAAGAAAAAAAAAAAAGTATATTTATACACGGAAAGAATAAGGTGACACTGAATATCATCTTAGATTATACTGAGTGAAAAAAATTTTCAGATAGTTGCTAGTATAATCCAGATATCATGCAGTGTAATCAGAATTTTTTTAACTACTATCAAAAAAATTTTTTTTTCACCACAGATATCACTGAGATATCCAGTATCATCTTCTTCTTTCCGTGTATAAAATTTTCTTACGAGATTTTTTACTTTAAGACATTTAACTAAACTAATTATAAGAGTTATTAGAGTTCATAATACTTTTTTTAAAAAAAAAAGAGCAATATCTTTTATACTTAATCTTAATTAGTGGTAAACGTTAAACGTAAAAACAATAAATAGTTATTAAAATATTTTTAAATGATATTGATTGTTTGAAAATGAAAATGTTTATTTAAAATATAGTTTGTAGTTTAAAAACCATGATCAAATGACAGCACGTGTAATGTGGTGTTAAAATAAGTCACAAAGGGAAAAATATATAATCATTAAATCTTTTTATACTAATTATAGAGATATTAAAAAATTGTTGGTGTCTGGTAGTGCCTACTATTCTGCTATCGGTGGTCATGGTACAAAGCTTATTATAGCAATAATGTCTAACAGAAACATGGCCAATGTTTATCTTTAAGCTTACTCATTACTCTGATAAGGATACATTATTATTTTATATTAAATCAATTTGCTCATTGTTACACAAAACAATTTGAATTAAACAAACATTTAACTACAACTTATTTATAATTATTTTTAAATCCCGTTATTTTATACTAATTAGATTTTTTTATTTAAAAACAATCGTGCTAATTAGTATGCCAGTGAGATAAACTTAAGCTGACTAATTTTTATTCATAAGTTATATTCGTCGCGTGCCTTAAGGACAATCTTGATAAGTTAAATTTAAGCTTGTACAATCTATCAAATTTTTATTTAAATCCTTTGTCAATAGACCGGTCTTTACGTACAATAAATAATATAATAACGTGCTTGAAATACAATGGCCAGTTAATATTGGATTTAAAACGTAAATACTTGGAGTAGAAAAATAAATATAAATTTACGCGACGGAACTTCTTTGTAAGTATAAAAAAAAATCCTCGCTAATATAAGTACTAATACCATAATTATATTTATAAATAATTATATATAAAGAAAAAAAAATATATATACACGTATCTTTATTTTCAGTGTACAATGGAATAAAGAACAAAGGATGTCAATTGCATTTCGTCATCTTCGAAGTTGCCTCTGTTAATCGCAGAGCCGAGTATATAAATGTGTGATTACTTTACATCAGCGACGGAAATAAAATTGATAAAGAAGCTCACGCGATTCGATAAGACATTCGCACACCTGGTAGCTGCTAGCTGATGTTTTTGTTCTCAAGGCCTGCTTAAAACTTTTCTTCTATCCATTAAATCTCAAAAAAAAATCTACCTTACAATTTACATTTAAAAGTATCTTAGCTCTTTAAATTTATTTTATTTCATATGCTAATATATGAAATAATGTTTAGCTCTACCAACAAATACCGTGCCCAGTAAATATAATACATATTTTATTTTGTTGTTATTTGTTTTACAGAGAATTTGTTTCGTAACTTGAGAAAATTCGATACGGATTTTATTTAAACGAAAGAACTAAGTCGTCTTGACAGCGCATGCAATATATAACGGATTATTATTTTCCTGGCTACTGGACCCCTTTGTCTTGAAGCAGCGGCTCAAAAGACTGCCACTCGAGTAGAGTGTGTGTGGTCAGCCGTGTCGCACGTGCGTATATTTTTTTCCACTTAACTTAAACACAGTTGACTCATTTTGCTCAGCTTTAACAATTGTACACGTTCGCTTTAGTTCCATGTACAATTTACGATCAGCTGAATAACAAACTCTGCTTTTGTAATGCTACTCTACTTAGAGTCTGTACCATCTAATCATGTAATACACTTTCTTTCATTTTTTTCAACCTCTTTCTTAAAATAAAAATTAAGTTTACTTATTACAGGAAAACATAAAACTTATTGTTGTATACTTTTACGGGTACAGAAAGAAAAATTTCTTGACTGGAGAATAAAATTCTTGGCTCAAGAAAATTTTCGGGTGCCTGAAGGAAGACCGAAGTAAAATATTTGCTATCAAGTTTATTGATATCCATCGAAGATATTTCTTGTAGCTCCTACCGTTGTTTATTGTTATTGTTTATTATCTCGATTCCGCAAACTCAGCATGCATACCAGTGACGCAATTATTCAGTACGCGTGAGAAACACTTACTGTTAATATCTCAGCAAGTTTTATTTTAAAATATCAATAATACTCGTACATAAGATCGATATTTACTGAAAATAAATAGAGAAAAAAATTAATAACAAAGTAAAAAAAAAAACAATAAAGTATTAAAGCGTCTCACGATTTATAATAGATGTCTTATCTAAATCATTTAACTGATAATATTTTCCAAGGCTGCGTTGATCGTCATAATTTTATCAATTATTATTATTTATACAATTTCATATATAAGGACTCTAAAATAGCATGACATTGACGTAAAATCACGGGTTTAAAAAACCACAATAAAATTTTTAATAGCAATTCGAGTAAAAACTCTCAACTTACTTTGTATTGAATTATGATAAGATAATCGAGGAAGTGCGACACAATAAAAGTATTTGTTTTCTTTAGTCGCTAAACATCCAGCACTGTGCAAATTAAAATAAAAAGTAACGCCGTTTTTCCATTACTCTAGCATGTCTTGAGCCTCTCAAGGTCCAGATCGTTAATTTCCTTCAAGACTAAACGGGTATCGTTTATTCCATTACCTCCATCAGCGGCAATGAAATTCCTCCGTGGATTCCACATTATTTTTATCCTATTATTTTTTTTACGTTTGTTTTTATACTAAATACTTGAAATCAGTTTCAGAAATATATCCAGCCTTGAGCTAGCGCAAAAGCTAGTCCAAGGATACCTTGACCTTAATACCATCAAATTTGATCATTAATCTGGTTTTAATCAACCGGTCTCTGTAACCAGTTATCTTGTTATACTTAATCATCAATTCAATAAATAAATAAATAAATAAATAAATATTATTTAACAAGTTGAAAGTAATTAATAAGTGAAACTGAAGTTGACAGATATTAGAATTTTTTTTTTTAATTTTAATTAAAAAATTTCACATGTGAAAATTAATAAAAATTGTTGGAAGTATTTTTTTTATTGTATTTAATTTATTATAAAAATTTTTTAATTGACAGCTCACTTCAATATCATGATTACTATTTTTTTTCCATTGAATAAAATTACAAAAAAAATTTTATTTCTAATTTAATAAATTAAAAAAAAATTAAGAACGTGAGCTAACTAGTATTATTTAATAATAAAAATTGCTACTTGGTATTAGTAATAAATAAAATTTTATACCCAATTAAAATCTTCCTGCTTTGAATTAATAGAAATAATATTTATGACATAAAAATTAAGTATCATTTTAATGAACCACCTGTAACATAAAAAGGGTGATATTAAGCGGTCAACGGACAAGATTGCGTGTTTTTATCTGGATGACCACCAGTTGTTAGTTACCCGCGCAAATATTCAGCATACTTAATCAGTGAGTCATGTTTCTCGTTCAATATGTTCCGGATACCAGGTCCGGTCTTCCTAGTGTGTAGTGTACAGGAGTCACCTACCACTCATCTAAACTTTACAGACGTTATATACATACTACATACCTATATATAACATAATACACAAAAACGCCCACTTAACCCGCCAGTGAGTCCATGAGTCATCTGACGATTCTGGGAAAGGCTCACGTAAATTCGCTGAATTTTCATAATTGCCCTCCATCTCTATCTACTCCGTCAAAGTTATAAAAATTAATTTAGCAGATATTTGATAATTTTTAAAATTTTTTATAAGAATTAATTTGGCAGATAATAATTTTTTAAACAAATAAATTATAGCAAAAAAAATTGACGTGTAGAAATTAAAAAAAATTAAAAATACAATTTTTTAAAAATAAATTTTCGGAAAAAATTTGCTTGATAAATAAATGACATTAAAGTTAGCAGTCGTTTGACAATTTTTTAATTTTCTTTAATAAATAAATTTACTCCGAAAAATCATTTCTAAAAAATTGGATTTTTTATTTTTCTAATTTTCTAAATGTCATTTTTTTTCTCATTTTCTTTGACATAATTTATTTGTTAAAAAAAATTATAAAATATCTGCTAAATTAATTTTCATGATAAATAAAATTAAAATTGTCAAGTGACTACTAACTTTAATGACATAAATTTTTAACAAAAATAATTGACATAAAATTAAAAAAAAAATTAAAAGTGCAATTTTACATGACACTGAAGTTAGCAGACGTCTAAAAATTTTTGTTTTTTTTTTTTAAATTAAATTACAACTAAAAAAAAATTTATAAAAAATTGCACTTGAAGTTTTTCAAGTTTTTTACATGTGAAATTTTTTTTTTTAATTATTTAATTAAAATTTCTTCAATAAAAAATTTTGAAATGTCAGCTAACTTCATTTTCATAATTTTACAAGAATAATTTTTCGGAACTAATTTATTTGTCAAATAAAATTTAATAATAATCGAATGACTACTAACTTTAATGTTATAAAATTACGTAACCTCAAAATTGTCTTCGCCGAACTCTAAATAATACATGTCTCATTTTTCATGACAATCATCCTTGCAATTAACTGTAAAAAAAAACAATTAAAGTGAATAGATAGCTTAACATAAGTTCGAGAATTTTCCGTGATGTCAAAAAGTTAAAAACAAAAGCTAAAGTCGTGGGCGCAAAATGGCGTGAACCGTTACTGGGTGATAGGAGACCGTTGATTGGTCCTTGCCGAGCTAGCACGAGTGAAAATAGCGAATGACATCATCCACGAGACGGGCGAGAGTGTTCGGGTGATCTCGGGCCAGCGGACACGAGTGTTGACGTCGAAGATACCCGAGTGCCCTGAGGTATTCCCCCACATAATGAGTCATCGCGGGCGCAGTTTCACGGAGATTCGAAGTGTTGAATGTGACGATTTCGCGGTATATTCTTTAACACTCCAATAAATAATTTATCATCAATTAATAATTACGTCAGTATCTCCTAGTTATTTACCCGTCGATTAATTACTCTAATAATAATAATAATTATTATTATTATTATTATTATTATTATTATTATTATTGAGAATTTACGAACTGGAAATTTTTTGCCAAGTCCGAGGACGCGAATGAAGTGAACGTGAGCGTTGAGAGTATTTTTATTTAAAATACATACATCAATACCTACCAGCTGAACGCAATTTTCAGAACTTTAATTATCAGGTTCAAGTACTTTTATTACTGCGACAAGTTTTTTATTTAAATTAAAATATGAAGCTGGACGTGTCGGACGTGATGTATGACAACTCGAGCGTATCGAGTGATAGCGGGACATCTCAGAGTTCTCATGCGAGTCATGATTTTCTTTCAAATATTGCCAATGCTACGATTCCCAACAGTGTAAGTATCACTTACTTGCTATTGTACACATATTATATATTTAACGAGAGCTGACTGTTATTCAACATATGTGTATGTATGACAATATCAATAATAAGTAAGTAGCTTGAGCTGGTGTATAAATCTCATTGATTATTGTCATTTAATTTTTTATGCTGTTCAATTTTTTATGAAAGATAGCAGGAAGTATTAATAATGGTAATTCGGCGGTTAAAAAACGTAATCGAATTAATATAAGTTGGTGTGACGTCTTGGCCATGACGCAAGATATTTTTTTTTTCATCTTGTGTCCTCATAACGCGCCTCATATTTATTATTGTCATTGCTGTAAAAATGTGTGCTTGTATTTATGTATTTGGTTGTAAGTATGGGTATTAATGTTTTATTCAATTGACAATAGGTGTAGGCAATTGACGCGTGGAGTTTTGAGGTTAAGAATTCCTTTCTATGTACTCAGTATATAGATATATTGATACACTACTCGATTGAAGAGTTTAAAAGTTTGATAATATTTTATTGTTTAATTTATTTAGCTTATCGCTGGATAAAATACCTGAAATTCGGACGATTGATTAAATAACAACACAGATAATGCTTGTTGATTATTTTTTAGTTCAAAAACAATCATTGATACACAAAAAAAAATTAATTTCAATCAAGAGAAAAATTCTTAAACCAAAAAAATAATTTTGAAGAGTTTAATTTTCTTAATTAAGAGAAAAATTCTTAAATCAAGTAAAATTTACTTGAGCCAAGAAAAATTTCTTGGTTTAAAAATTTTTCTACTCAGAAAAATTTTTATTTAAATTAAAAATTAAAATTTTTCATGAATATAAAGTTAGCTGATATCTAAAAATTTTTATGATTTTTTTTATTAAAAAATTATTACAAAAAAAATTTTTTTCATTTGTTAAAAACTTCAAAAACTATAAGTGCAATTTTTTAATTATAATTTAATAAATTAAGCTAAATAAAAAAATCAAAAATGTCGGTTAATTTTATTATTGTAAATTTTTCTGCTCAAATTAAAACAAAAATATGAAATTCTTAAAAATTATTTACTTGATTCAAGTAAATTTCTTTTTCTGTGTATGTAATGTACTTAGTAAAATGTATGTAGAACTCTGAAAATAATCTCGCAGGCCGGGGACGATACTAAAATTATAAAACCGCGAGATCATCAACGAAAAATAGTTGGCTTGCACTTAAAAAACTCTCAGAAATGATATTTTTAGAAAATTATTTATTTTTTATAAATACTTAAGTATTTTTTTGTAATTCGTATTTTTGTAAAACGGGTAGATTGAGTGTACGTGTACGAAGAGATTGCTTTTCATTAGTGTATTTGGTAGACTTTAATGTTTGTTGTATGAGCAAATCTTGCGTCCGTAGATTGGATCAGCGACTTTCATTCCGGTTTTATCTTGTCTAACCTTTTAAGGGGACCACGTGTATTCCCCATGTACTGAGTATTGCTATCGGGCTTGCTCCTATCTTATCGCCATATTAAATAATTATTCACGAAACTAGTCTAATCTGTTTTAATTTTCGCGTCTACTGTCTTGATAAACAACTTATCCTTATTACTGTCATTAGTTATTTTAATTGCGCTCAGTACCGGCTGGATGGAATATAAAATATTCTAAAACCAAGTTTCCGAAGCATGAATTTAAATACTTACCCGTTCTGTTGAGAGTTTAAACCTACAAGTCATCTACAAACTGTATTTTAATTACGCAACATTACACAATTCAATGCAAGGGACCTTAGTGCTACGTGGGAATAGTTTCACAGCATTGATCTGTTTCACCTATTAGCCCTCGGATCCTTAAGAGTTTTATTATTCATGTTAGAATTGTCATTTTAATGTTCGATAATTAATTTCAAAAGATTTTATTACTAAACATTAGTATTTATTAAATATAATTATATTTCTTGTATTTAAATTGTAAGAAGGTTTGGTAATTATTTGTTTTATTTTGTTTTTAATTTTTTAGACAAATTAATTATTATAAAAAAACTATTTTAAGTTTTTAATTTTTTTTCTCTTCAGCTAATAATAATTTAGTAATTTGTTAAGATTAAAACGGAAGCTGAATTAGCAGACATCTGAATTTTTTTTTTTTAAATAAATTGATGAAAAAAAAAAATTAGTAATTATTTACAAGTGGGGTCAACCCTATTTTGGGCTCTAACAAAGTGAAAAATTAACATTTTCAAATTGTTTTTTTATTCTGCTTGTTTTTACGACGCATTTATTATAAAAAATGTCGTGAAAAAAAAAAAAAAAAAATAAAGATTTTAATAGCTTTTTTGCCTTCAAAAGTTGGAAAAAATTTTGGCTCTTATTTTTTTGGTTAAAATTTCTATTTTATCTTTTTTTTGATATATATTTTTTTTTTTAAAAGAACTATGTATAAATTTTTTTGAAAATTTGGTGAAATTGTAATGATTAATTTTTTTTTTTAAATTGATAATTTTTTATGTATTTAAAAAAAAAATCAAATAGAAATTTCGTTTAAAAAAATGAAAATTAAAATATTTGACCCCACTTATAAATATTTACCAAAAAATTTTATTTTATTTTTTTTGTTGAATTCAATTTTTGTTTCAAATCGATTCAGAATGAGAAATAAATTATCTTGTGATATATTATCCAGCATTTCAGCGAAGAAAAATCAGCTGGAAAAAATGATGAAAATTAAATAAAAATTTCGTTTAAAAAAATGAAAATTAAAATAGTTGACCCCACTTGTAAATATTCACCAACGTTAAATAATTTCAAAAGATTTAATTACTAAACATTATCATTTATTAAATATAATTATTATATTTCTCGTATTTAAATTGTAAGAAAGTTTTTATAAAAAACTTTCATAGGAATTTATAATAATAACAAGGCGAGTTTTCGAGACAAGCCAGAGACTTGGAATTGAGTATAATAGAATAGAAGTTCGAGCGTGTCTAATCTCGCGGATGATTACTGGGGAAAAAATTGAAGTAATAATTCAATATTTAAATAATTCTATGGTATTATCCGCGTACTTTGTTCGGCTTATTCGACTTATTGTTATTACGTAAATAATTACTCGTTATTATATTATTCTAGCGGTGTTTATTGCTCAGTGCTCGCTAACTATCGCTGTCCGAGTTGTCTTAGGGGTCTTTAGGAATTATTGATCGACTATTGTTGGAGAAGCCCAGCTGTTTGGTTGATACGGGATACATATATTGTGTTACCTTTCCCCAACTTTGTACAGCCGTCGCTCTCGATATATCTTTCGACATATATTAGATATAACTAAAATTCACGTATATTTGTGCATTATACAGAATATTAGTTCGTGTCTCGGGTGCATTTATTTTCACGTGGTCGCACGCGCTCGTTTGCTCACACGTGCCTAGTTGTTCGTTCTCATATCGCCGTATTTTATTTTATATCCGGCTCTTGTCTCTGTTATATGTTTCACGTTAGTGTTATATGCAACAACGCGTTCATATTAGAGTATATATATATTTATAATACACACACTAAGCAGCAATAATTTTGTAAGCAGACACCAAAATGCATACACAGCTGCAGCTGCTCGTTTAATGTAAAGATCAAATCATTATCATAATTTTATAATGATCAATAAACTACCAACACAATTGATCGTATTTTATAAAATGTTTTTTGTTTAACAAAGAATTCAACAATAAACATTTTTTAGTCTCTAAAAGTCAACCGGGTACTTAATTTACTATTTTATTTAATTGGTTATCTTTGTGCGTAGTAACAAACCCAATTAGCGGTCATTAAAAAAATATATTTGTCGTAAATAAAAAATCGTATTGATTTCAATTAATTAATTGATTAATTAAATTTATTTTTTATGAGGTGAACAATTGAAAGAACAAAAAAACAAAGTACAATATTTAGATAATATTTTTTGGAGCTAAGTTATATGAGGAAACGCGACAGGAGTACAGAGAAGACACAAGGTCACGACACGCTTCCCAGGATAGCGAAAATAATACGTCACAGCGATTACTTGGACGAGGTTGAGGCTACATACTCTCTTGTCGAGCCGACAAGGCCGCGTGCATGTGATTGCTCTAGTCGCGAATCGAGTTTCAACTTCGGAGTACATAAAAATATAAATAACGCACATTAGAATTTAATAAATTCAAGGTTCTGCACTACATTATTATTTTCCCATAACTCATATAAATTTTTTTTTTCATAAAAAAATTATGATTTTAATCTATGTTATTAAGAGAATAAGAAAAATTTTGTGGCTAGTGTAATTTATATGATAAAATCGGTTTTTATAGTTAAATTTGGTACCCACATCAATTTTTCATGTATTTTATATCTTAAAAAAAATGTCAATAATTAAGAAATGACCTTGTATCTCGTGAACTATTGACATTTTTAAAGATATAAGCTCATCCCAATGTTACATTCATCAAGAACTTTCATTTGAGTACCCACATCATTTTTTCATATATTTATATATATATTATATATATAAATATATGAAAAATATATCAAAATGCATGTGGGTACTCAAATGAAAGCTCTTGATGAGTGTAACATCGAGATGAGCTTATATCTTTAAAAATGTCAATATTTAAGAACTGACCCTCTATCTCGTGAATTATTGACATTTTTAAAGATATAAGCTCATCCCGATGTTACACTTATCGAGACCTTTCATTTGAGTACCCACATTAATTTTTCATATATTTATATATATTATATATATATGTATATATGAAAAATATATCAAAATGCATGTGGGTACTCAAATGAGAGCTCTTGATGAGTATAACATCGGGATGAGCTTATATCTTGAAAAATGTCAATAATTAAGAACTGATTTTGCTATCTTGTCAACTAATGATATTTTTTAAGATATAAGCTCATCTCGATATTAAACTCATCGAAACTTTTCATTTGAGTACCCATATCAATTTTTCATATATTTTATATATTTATATACATATTTATATTTATATTTATATATTTATAAATTTGTATATATGAAAAATATATAAAAATGCATGTGGGTACTCAAATGAAAGCTCTTGATGAGAATATCATCGGGGTGAGCTTATATCTTCAAAAACATCAATATTTAAGAAAGTACAGTTCAATTTAACAAAAGTTATTATTCTCATTTTTTTTTTTTTTTTTTTTAATTAATATTTCACAACCAATTGGTATTCCCGAGGGTTAAAGATATATATTTATGTGTCCCTACGTTACGGTCTACCGCAGTTTTTTTTTTACCTGGACACTATTGTGTTATATCGTAAATATATAAATATACAAATATACAAATCCCGAAGAATACAAACAGAATCACATGCAATTATCAATCGAATCACGTATGATTGTGGCTGCGGGAGTACCTACAAACATTTTATTAACCCCATAGGCTTTAACGTAGCTTGTCTCGAAAGCAGGGATATAAATATACAAGTACACACATAAATAAATATATGTATATATCTGTCTATATACAATAAGCAATAACTCCAATAACACAATGCAAGTAAAAAGTATATAAACGGACGTTCATTAGAAT